ACTTGCATTCTCTGGCCCAGTAGTGCCACTATAGCATAAAGGGTTACTGATGGAATGCACCCTAATCAATAATGAAACTTTGCTAAAAAAATAAGGTTTTAACTCTTAACTCTTAATTATTATCCTTGTAAAAAAAAATAAATCGGGATAATTTTTTTACATCAATTTTTGATATAATTTTTATATATTATTAAATAAATAAATAAATTTAAAATAAAATAAAATAAATTCTTCTTATCCCCTCTTCTTCTTTTAATAATTAAGTTAAAAAAAATTTAACCCTTTTCCTAATTTTAATATATTATAAAAGTCATATCTAATTGATTAATTAACTATATTGTATTATCAATTTTTTCCCTATTTGGCCTAACCAAAACGTTTCTCTAATGTGACGTTCAACCTCCAGTAACGACTTGAAAAAAATTATCCATGTTCAAAACATTTCTCTAAAGCAAAATAAATGTTTTGTAGAAAATCACACTTTCACAAACTATAACCCTCCCAAAATAAGCAAAATAGACCTACAAAAATAAATTATTAATTTTGGGTAAAAAAACAAACAAACAAACATTTTATCAGTGACCTAAATAATTTAATGGTTATTTTTTTTATTGAAAATAAGATATCTGAATTTGAGTCATATGATATACAAAAAAAATAAAAAATATGAGATAATTACCTTTAATAGGGTAAACAAGATTAAAAAAAAAAAAAAAAACCAAACATTTTCATTTACATAAAAGAAAAAAGGCAAATTTTTTCCATTGAAAACAGAACAAGAATGAAGAAACAAAAAATAGATAGATGGATAGATAAAGAAATCTCCAATATCCGAGCTGGCAACTGTCAAGAGATCATCTGAGTCCCACAGAGGCAAAGATACTCCCTCTCACACCAAAGGGAGTTTGTGGATGCACATCATGCCACGCGTAATGCCGCCGTGACCACCTATTCCACATGTCATCTCGTGGCAGGTCAGTCAAGATCGCGCGGAACATCAGCCTCTTATCGCCAGAATCTAGCCCACCTCCCCTTCTCTCTCTTTGTCTTTCTCTTTCCCTCGCTTTCTCCCTTTCCAGTTTGTACATTTCAAACGCCATGACCGCCATAGCCACTGCTGCGGTTCTGTCTCGGCCAATCTTTCCATGTAGATCATCCAAGTTCAGTACTAAAAAGGTAGTCTGTTTTTCTTCTTTGAGTTGTCCATGTGTTTTGTTGATCTGGGTAGTTGAGTTTCAATTGAAACTTTAGTTTGAAGCTCCAAAGCTGTAATTTTTATTTGTTAGTCTTAGATGGGTAGATGCTAAATTTACGACAAAAGACATGATCCTTTGGTGTAAAATGTTTCTTCACGGGTTTTTGGTTTTGGAAGAGAAATGCTAACTAAGCTTATTATGTGTTTAGTTTAATCTTTCACTTTGGTACTGAGGTTCATCTCTGGAAGGCTTCTTATCAATTTCATTCTCTGCTAGAGTAATCTGGGTTTATATTAAAGTTTAAAGGTTGTAGATTTTGAGCTTTAATTTTGGGGACTTGGTTGTTGGCTTTTCAGGGCATTAAAGGTGGATTTAGGGTGTTTGCAGTGTTTGGGGAGGAAGGTGGGTTGGTGGATAAGAAAACCTCGTGGAGTGCAATCTTTGATGTGGAGGACCCAAGATCTAAAGTCCCACAGTGTAAAGGGAAGTTCTTGGATGTAAATCAGGCCTTGGAAGTGGCTAGATATGATATTCAGTACTGTGACTGGCGTGCGCGGCAAGATTTACTTGCAATCATGCTACTTCATGAAAAGGTTTTCCTCTGTTAACCACAGTCTTTGATCTGATCGATGTACTGGTTATTCATGCTTTTATTTTGTAATAACAAGGTTGTTCATTTATTTTAGATTATAGATTTGACAAGTAAATGTGAGTTTTGTTTGCAGTTTCTTGTTTATATAATAATGGGCCTCTTTTCTTGCCTTTGAAATATTTATTCACGGGTTCATTTTGGCAATTTCTCACCCTAATAGAAATTGGTGTAGGTTGTGGAAGTTTTGAATCCTCTGGCTCGTGAGTACAAGTCTGTTGGGACCATGAAAAAGGAACTTGCTGAGTTGCAAGAAGAACTAGCTCAAGCACATAGACAGGTCTGGGAAATGGAAGTTTACTAAATTGTTGTTTTTATAAATTGCCAATCAAGAAGATGATGCTTTACAACTCTCTATCAATAGCTAATATAATTCTGACCTGTGGTTAACAACAGGTTCATATATCTGAAGCAAGGGTTGGCACAGCATTAGATAAACTAGCTTACATGGAGACACTGGTTAATGATAGGCTGTTGGAAGACAGAAGCACAGCAGAATCCGACTCAGCATCCCCTTCCTCCACTAATTCCACTCAGTCATTGGATGCTGTGAAGAGAAAGTTGCCTCGCAAAAGCTTGAATGTATCAGGTCCAGTTCAACCTTACCATCCTCGTTTAAAGAACTTCTGGTACCCTATTGCCTTCTCTGCCGATCTGAAGGATGATATGATGGTAAGCTAGTTTGATCCCTGAAATATAAAGTTTTTATGTATATTATTTATTTATTGATTATTGTTCCAACTTCCATGCATTGACAAGGTGAAGTTTATCTCCTCGAATTGATTCTGGAGTGGAAGTAAATTAAGTCAACTTACCCAGAACTAGCACACTGCACACTTGTTTTCCTTAAATTTTCTGGTGGAAATGTGTTCAGACATTGCTGTCATAGTGTGGTGTTTTAATGTGTTATACAGTAATTCTCTGGTCTTATCATCTGCTATTTAACTGATGTTCTCGATCTGTCTTGCCTTCCTCTTTCCAGATTCCAATTGATTGCTTTGAGGAACCTTGGGTTATTTTCCGAGGAAAAGATGGGAAACCTGGATGTGTCCAGAACACTTGTGCACATAGAGCATGTCCTCTTCATCTTGGTTCAGTAAATGAGGGTCGAATCCAATGTCCCTACCATGGTTAGTATGAATTTAGGAATATATTAGCATATGCATCTCAACAAGAGAGATATCTATCTATTGATGAAAGATAATGATGTGTATGGTTGTTGGTATCAGTAAATAAGATAAAATTTCCTAATTCTTGGAATTTTTTTACACGAAAATATTAGGTTGGGAATACTCAACTGATGGAAAATGTGAAAAGATGCCATCTACACGATTACTTAATGTGAAAATAAGGTCTTTGCCATGTTTTGAGCAAGAAGGCATGATCTGGATATGGCCTGGTGATGACCCTCCAACAGCCACACTTCCTTCTTTAAAGCCCCCTACAGGATTTGAAATCCACGCTGAGGTATGCTGTAGATCATTTCAAATGCCTTTTTAGCAACTGTGAATGCAAGAAGCATGTCAGTTTGGCTTTGATGAGTTAATCACTATCTTACATCAGCTTTAATGTGAACTGATAAATTACAGATTGTGATGGAACTTCCGGTAGAACATGGGTTGCTCTTGGATAACCTTCTGGATCTGGCACATGCCCCTTTTACTCACACTTCCACCTTTGCCAAGGGATGGAGTGTTCCCAGGTTTGTTTCTGGTGTTGGTGATGCTGCACATTTTTCTCAAACATTGTCATATAGTTTTGCCCTCAATTTACTGATTTAAAAAAAGTTACCTCAACTCAGAATGACTTCCAATGTAAAAAATTGGACTTGTAGGGCATCTTGTGTAAGTGGTAAGAAAAAGCATAGTCAAATTTTATGTGGAAAATAAAAGAAAATCATTTTAAAATATCAGGCCAAATGGCATCCAGATTTTTGTCTTCATCTCATTATTCTGTTCAAATATTTCACCAGTTTTGTCTTATCTTAAATAGGTAGCCCATGCTAACTATCTTTAATCTGAATTCAGTCTGGTGAAATTTTTGACACCTGCATCTGGCCTCCAAGGATACTGGGACCCATATCCAATTGATATGGAATTTCGACCACCTTGTATGGTGTTATCAACCATTGGGATATCAAAGCCTGGAAAACTGGAGGGACAAAATACCAAGCAATGTACAACACACCTTCACCAGCTTCATGTGTGCTTACCTTCATCAAGACAAAAAACAAGACTATTGTACAGGATGTCACTAGATTTTGCTCCAATACTAAAGCACATCCCTTTCGTGCAGTATTTATGGAGGCATTTTGCAGAACAGGTAAAATGTTTGTAATAATACAGAACTATGCTCTTATTTTCTTTTCCCATTTTTTAGGTCGTTTATTTTCTTTCCCTCTGGCTTCATGCAGAATTAATTCGACCTTGACTCAGTTGTTTATCTGAATCTTTATAACTTCTTGATACATATTTGATGCAGGTCTTGAATGAGGATCTGCGACTTGTAGTTGGCCAGCAGGAGCGGATGATTAATGGAGCAAATGTCTGGAATTGGCCAGTAGCTTATGATAAACTGGGAGTGAGGTACAGATTATGGAGAGATGCGTTGGAACGGGGAGTGAAGCAGTTACCCTTCAGCAACTCAATGTAAATTTTAACCTGAAGGCTAAAGCATCGGATTTAGCATGCCTAATGGCTTCTTTAGAACCAGTTCTACCCCCTCAGGTGAAATCAGACATCGTCTACACGGCAAAGACACTTATACAATTGGATTTGTCACTTGGGATGATCCGGCAAAAAACTGTATATGAGGTAGAGGGATTTGGTTCCTGCATGCAAGCAAGCCCTTGTAAAATTAGAGAAAACTGTACACTATTTTTATATTTTTGGTGTACAGTTAGGAGCCCTCATTTTTTTTCATCTTCTTCCATATTCCAGCCCAATGTAGTGATCAATGATGTTTTGCAGCATCAAACATTGAACTTTTGATCTCCTGTGCCAGGATTGATCTATTGTATGATAGCATCACCAATATCCAATTTAAGTTCCCAAGATTTGTAATTACATTCTTGAACTACATCCCAGAGTCAGCTCCATGATTAAAAAGGGTTAGTCTTTCTCTTAACTTGCATAAACTTGAATGAAAATCATAGTTCTACTTAACTCAGATTTTCATTGTCCGGTAAACCAAAAGAAAACACCTGCACTACACAGGTAGAGCAACTAAAAGCATGACAGATAATTGCCTTCCATTATCCATCATCGGTAATGGGAAAAATGAAACTCGCAACTAATAAACACTCCTCATCTAATTGCTTTCATTCAATATACACACATAATGAGTTATGCACGCATAAGAGAAAACATGTTACTTCATTTATGTCATGGGTGTACAATTGAATCCTGTACTGCAAAATTTTACATTCAATGCCAGCTCTCTACAGGCAAATGAGAATCCTCAGCCTGGCAATGGGTACCGGCACAGAGGACACAGATGACTCTTCCTAAGCCACCTAACAATGCAGTCACCATGGAAGAAATGCTTACACGGCATCCGCACAACTTCTTCATCACTCCAAAAATCCTCCAGACAAATTATACATTCCTTGGTGAAACCAGGAACGTCATTACCCCTTCTCCTTTTCTTGATGGGTAAAGCATGATCCATCCTATTACCAACAATCTGACACAATTTCAACCTTTCTAAAGATTCAATGGAGGACTCACTAGCAGGTCTAAACTTCACCATATCAACCTCTTCAATTGAGTCATCAGGAGGCATTTCAACGAGCACTTGAATGACAATTTTGAGCACCTTACGTTCCACATTCATGGGGTCAAGGTATAGTTCCCTTGCAAAACACAAAACATCCGGTGTGACAGTCTGGATGAATTCTTCCGATGAACCCATGTCGGAAAAGAGGTCATGAACGATCTTTGGACCGAAGTAATCGGAAAAAATGAGGGTACAGGAACAGGGGAGTGATTTATGTAAGGAGTGTACGGCTATGTTCCAATCCATGGGAGCGACGAACAGGAAGGATAAGTCCAAGTGGAAGAGACGGAAAGCAGCAGAGGAGAAGTGCAATTGCAAGTGATGATCGTTGAGATCTTGTCTCATGGTGAAACGGTAGTTGGACGCCATGGATTCTTGAAGAAACGATCAAAGATCAGGTAGGGATTTTGCTGAGAATTTTGGGGATATTATGATCTTCTTTAATGAAATGGCGCGCCGCTTAGTTTCACTAGGAATTGGATTCTGCTTTCTTTCTTTTTCCTAATCCCTTCTAATCTGTTCATCTGAAAAAATCGATAATTATTATTATTATCATTATTATTTAAGTAAAAATTTATTTATATATAAATATATATCCACTATATTTATATAAAATTTTAATTATTAAAAATAAAAATTTTTTATTTAAAAAATTATGAAAAAACTTTAATAGTAAAAGTAAATAAATAATTAATTAAAATTTAATATAAATATAATGTATTAGATTTATAAGTAAATAAATCTTTATTTTTATTTTTTTTGTATTTACAATAAAAATTTTTCATGTATTTAAAATTAATTTTTTATTAAAAAATTTTAACGACACATCTCTTATTAATCTAATTTATAAAATGACGTTAATTCCTAAGTGGATATAACCTTTGAAGTTATCAATAAATATTATTATCAGCCAAATTATAATAGGTTGCGTTTGCTGCTTGACTAGCATTCTATCTCTTTCGAAGGACAAGAATTTTTATAAATTATTTAATATTGACCCGAATTGACTTACCTTAAAAGAATGAGGGTGTGAATTTAGTTGCAAGCAAAAACCTACTCATAATATCACTTTATTATTATTTTAAAAAATACAATTT